CGAGCAGGGAGCCCGATGCGGGACTCGATCCAGGGACTCCAGGATCATGACCTGAGCCGAAGGCAGTCGCTTAACCAACTGAGCCACCCAGGCGCCCCATCTTATAATAACAGTTTTTAATAGAAGAATTAATAGAAAATTATTATGGAAGCTGAGTTTTCTATAAATATGAGCCAACTTTGGAAAAAGCCAGTAAACTCTTCTAGGCTAACGAAATTATATTTATATAACTGTTAAGGATTTGGCTTAGTGATGACTGAATCAAGCGTAAGGTGAATAGATGAGAACTGGGAAGCTTTTAGGAGGAAAATCAGATCTGTTCCCAGTGGGGTAATGACACTTCCCCTAATTTGTTCCTGATCCTTTGGTTCTTCCCTATTTTTTTGACCTGTGGAGATAGAAGAGTATCTAAGATTTTTTCTAAGAGTATTCTAAGATTTTTTCCTTTCCTTAAATAATAGTAATTTTAAGGGTAGATCTCGCCTCTGTGGGGAGAGAGAAGCATGTTTTGAATGTCTATTTATAAGACAATTTATAAGATTATAGTCACCTTGAGATTTCAGTTGCATTTTAGAAGATTTCTTTTTTAAGAGGAAATATTTATGTATATGACAACTTTTTTAAAGGCCATGAATATTAAAATAGAACCAGAAGAGACAGCAGCAGAAGCCAGAACTCATAACCTGAGACGACGGATGGGCTGTCCAACTCCAAAATGTGAAAATGGTAAGAGAGTGTTTATCCATGGGTAGGAAAGAAGTAAAAGTAAATTAGTAAAAATAAGTATTCATTTTTTAAGGAAACCTTATAGCAACTATTGAATACTAGTCAGTGGGTTGGGTCTTGAAATAAAATCTTAATATGTTAATGTCCCTGTTCTCATAGTTAGTGACCAGTAGAAGTAAACAGATACGCATATTAGAAATATGATTGCGTTTTTCTCAACTGTCACCAAGTGCTATTCTGAAATTTGGTTAAATGGCATTCATTGAAAAGAAGTGTTTTATGAGTAGCATAGGTGCCTTTGACTGGATATCTGTTAAGTTTATTTCAGGCATGGCAGGCAGACATGGTTTCTAAATCTGAATTTTAGTTGATAATTGCTTGGCTGGCCATTGCTTGATGTCAGTCACTGAGAGGTAAACCTGTTCAGGACTCTAAAAAGAGAAGTCCTAAATCCTATATGGGCAGGCACATACAAATGAAGAAGTTATTAAAATTGGTTCTTCTTAGTGGTTGATGAGTTTAGTGGAAAGGCAGCACAATGTAGTGGAAAGTAGGTGGATTTTTAGAAATATATATCTGAATCTGAATCCTGGCCTAACCACTAAGTAGTTGTATGACCTTAGATATTTCTTGATTTATTTTAGTGTCCGTTTTCTTATCTTTGAAATGGATTTGTTGCAAAAGGTTAGATGATCTATGGACAGCATTTAGCACAGCACCTACCTACCATATTGATAGTTACTGTTTTAGCCGAAATTCTCAGTCTTTGGAACCAGGAAGTTGGGGCAGTAAGTAGTCATGGGTTATGGAGGAATACTCTATAATGTGGAGGAATACAGGAACCTGCTTTCATCAATATATATCATGTCTTGGTAACATGTTAAGAAGACTGTATCTTTGGCTCCTATTTTAAAAGCCTACAAACCTGAGCAACATATCCAGAAGTACCCATATCCAGAAGTGCCCACATTTAAATGGTGTGAGAGTTTGCATTTTACCATAAGCAGTCAGCACCTAGCCCTTGAACATGGTAACACTGGGTGCTGCTGCTCCTGCATTGAAAAGAAACAAGGAAATTGTGTTTGTGTCCTGTGTGTAGCTTGGGGGAGGGAGAGGTGAGAGGTGAGGGAGCAAGGTGAGCCAAGTGTAGTACGTGAAGCGCTAACTCTGATTGCCTCTTACAGAGAAAGAAACGAAAGGCATCGTCAAGCAAGAACCCATTGAGAAGAAAGAGTACATTGTAGAAAGCGAGAAGGAAAAACCCAAGAGCCGATCTAAAAAAACCACCAGTGCTGTGAGTTGACATGTTTAAACACTTTTACCACTTTTGTGCCTTACTTAAGACTGCTAGCTTAGAGTGTCACAGTTAAAAGAACTTTTCATGTCCATTTATAGTATAAATTTCTAATTGAGGAAATACACAAATGCATTATGAAGGTAATAGTAACATATGGGGGGCATTCACAGCCATTTTTTGGAGTACATGCAGTTTAGAGACATATAATGGTGAGTTGGATTATATATGAAATGTTCATAAATCACTAGATCACCTCCAGGTGAGTTGAGAGCTAGATCAAAAATCAGGTTGATGTTTTCCAACCTTACAACAGGGAAGGAAAGGGAAGGTAGGAAAAGGAAGGAAAGAAAAGGAAAGGAGTTGGGCGGAGAGGAACTGAGGACCCAACAAAAGTTGGAGGACTAGGCAGCCATTTACTCAAGTGGAAACTTAAAAATAAAGCTTGAGGAGATTACAGAGGATCTGGTTGCTTTTCTTCTTCTCTGTCCCCTCTGAGAGCTCAGTGAATAGCTTGACAACAGTGCTTTTTATTGTGGAATTTGAAATTATTCCAATTAAGTGTTCTTTTCATAAAGAACACTTCTCCCCCACCACCACCACCACCAAAAAAAAAAAAAATACAATCAGAAAATGATCAGAACCCAGGTTTTTATTTGCTACAACAGAAGAAGTGAGATTCCCTGATAAGTTGAATTCTTAGCTTTCCATATTATTGGGTAATGTATTAGTTTGCAAGGGCTGCTGTAACAAAGTATCACAGACTAACTGGCCTAAGTAACAATTGATTTTCTCGTGGTTCTGGAGGCTGGAAGTCTAAGATCAAGGTGTCTGTAGGGTTGGTTTTTTTCTGAGGCCTCTCTCCTTGGCTTATAGATGGTTGTCTCCTCACTGTCTTCATGTGGCCTTCCTCTGTACCTGTCTATGTCCTAATCTCTTCTTCTTGAATACTAGTCATAGTGAATTGGAGCCCACTCATTATGATCTCATTTTACCTTAATTAATTTCTTTAAAGTCCCTGTTCCAAATATAGTCACATTCTGAGGTACTGGGGGTTAAGACATCAAGATACGAATTTTGGGGGAACAGAGTTCAGCCCATTAACAGGTAATAACTATGTATTTTTATCACTGTGTTTGGGGAACTTCTTAACCATGAGTCCTTAATTAGAATATAAAGTAATTTAATGTGGTTAATGAACTTAAACACTTTTCTTTCCTTTTTTTTAAAGATTTTATTTATTTATTTTAGAGACAGAGCACAAGAGGGGGGAGCGGGAGAAGCAGACTCCCCGCCGAGCAGGGAGCCCGATGCGGGACTCGATCCCGGGACTCCAGGATCATGACCTGAGC